AACATCATAAAAAAACTTTGTCAATTTACGTATTTTGTGAGACCCATGAACAGACGATAGAATAATAACATATATGGGGAATCAAGAACATAGGCATCTCTAGTATTTCTATGAATAGAGTCATTTATGGAAGTTGTGCATTTGCTCGTTTCGTTCGTGATGTATTATCATGCCAAAAAGAAAGAAAGGGATAGCCTTAACATACTTGTATTATCTCTTCCTTATTACTCAACCAAGCTCAACACAACTTCTTGCATCTACAGCAAGTGAAATGATATTGCCGTTAACATATAATGCCATACCATCGATTTTGGCTAGTCGCATGACTTAAAGAAAATCGGGTAGCAACTCCCCTATTTTTAATACATCCCAAAGACCACTAAGGGTCAACAACAACCCAACAACAACAACTATGTCCAACACCAGCAACAACAACAATATAATCCAATATGAGTTTCTCCGATTATCTTAACAATCATATTGAGCGGCAAGCTCGTTTCTTTTACTCATAGCAAGATATAAATTGAATCCAAATCTTATTCCATAAATTATTTTATAACCTTCAGAGCATCATACTTATATGTACCATATTATTTCTAGTTTAAAACCACCACAAAATGCCTTCCAAAATAGCCTCATACGTCTAGCACCTTAATTTTTATCGTCAATCACTTGTTTTTCATCTTTTCTTCTTCAATCAACTTAATTAACACCTAGGAAAGCTTAACAACAGTAGACACAACATTATCAAATTATTTCTCACAATTTTCAGCTACCACAAACCATATTTTTAACCACAAAACAGTCCAACCAAAAAGACAAGCGTATCCCATGTTCCTTCAAGTGCATCTTATGGGTTTTCACTCAAACAACACAACAAACACAAGATTAACCTTAGGCACAATCAAGAATGTGCTATACATACCTTGGAAAGCAGCAACAACTCGAAACCCCATCTCTACTTAGCTCACAATAGACCTCAATCACACCACAACATCATAGAAGTATTCTCTTGTAGTCTTTAACACCTTTGATGAGGATTTGAGTTGATTTCTCTTGAGTTTAGTTCTTGGAACCTTGGACAAGTTCTTTCAGAGTTTGAGAGTGTTTTGCAGTAATTGATCTCTGGATATTGACGAAATATAATGGATAAAAATAACTTATAAGCCCACCGCCTCAATTCTCCAAGCAGGTGGGTAAGCTTCCTGCTTGGCAGCTTGAGCAGTACCACGTTAGACACTTGTATCTCTCTTCTCAGATATCGTATTGACAAACAGTTTGCAGAGTTGGAAACTAGACACATAGACTTTAATTCCACATAAGTATCTCCATGTAACTCTCAATATATTGGGTCCTATAAACCTGCCAGTTTCTCCGAAGTGTGGCAACGTGACTTGGTGACCCTTACTTTAAAAATCCATATTTCTCTACCCCGATGTCGTATGAATAAATGGTTTGGACCTTTGAAAACTAGGTTCCAAGACCTTCATTTTGATATGATATATGTCCCAAAATGACATCATAAAGCTTACGAATTTAATTTCTCAAATCAACTCGTTACAAGGCAAATCTTAACTCGATTTTTCCGTAAGTTAAATCCAATTTTTCCCAAGCTTTATATTTTATGTCCAAACATCATATATAGTCATATTATTACTTTACGCTCGTTCAATCATGATTAACAAGTCTCATATTCATTATACGTCACCTTAGAACGCATAAGGTGTAACACCAAACTTGTCGACTTTCGACAAAACTTATCTTATTCAATTTGTTTAGCTTCTAAGCCTTCCGATCATCTTGGTACTTGTTTTTCATGATCTTAAATATTATTAACTTCCACGGTAACATGATTACTCACTTATAAATTTTTTTCAAAGATGATTTCATTTCTGAGCTTACATCAATTGACTTACAACGTACTCTTAAGTACGAAAATATGGGATGTAACACTTTTGTTGATGAAGCACCAAAGCCTGAAGAAATGGCTTGTGATAGGATTCTTGTTTGTGTTGCAGACGGATATTCTGAGAGATAGAGGGATATTTCTTCCCTCTCCGGTTGCGGTTCTATACCCTGTTCTAGTGCTACCATATTTTGGTACAGTGGCTGCACAACTCTTTGTCCGGTTCAGTAGTGCCCGGTTCATTACCTCTTTCTAACATTCTCCGGTAATCTAAGAGTGTACCGGTCCAAATTCTCTCCCGGTACCATGAACGAGTAGCCGGTCGAATGTGACCTGAACATGTTAAACATCCTTGGCCTTATTATTGTGAGTTGGACCTACTGTTTTTGTTCATTACCGTTCTTTGATTTTTGTTTTAATAGAAATGTCAGCAGCTTCATAATTAAAATTTTCTATAAAAAATAGTCTATACACGTTGGATAGATAAGGTTAAGGTAAAAAAAATAATATATATACTTTTATACATCATACAACAGTCTATACACGTTGGATAGATAAAAGTGCTCGGATACAAAATATATACAAAATAGACTGTCACTATACAAAAATATACAAAATAGACTGTCACTGTACAATTTATATACAATATACTATCACTATACAAAATATATACAATAGATTATCACTATACAAAATATACTGTCATTATACAAAAAAATATACTAAATAGACTGTCACTATAAAAAAATATACTAAATAGACTGTCACTATACAATTTATATACAATAGACTGTTACTATACAAAAAATATACAAAATAGACTATCACTATATAAAAAATATACAAAATAGACTGTCACTATACAAATAATATACAAAATAGACTGTCGCTATACAAAATAGACATTTTGGGCTATTAGATGTAATATGTTTGGGCCGAAGGGCCATTTCATGTAAGTGAGAAAATACATGGGCTATTAAAATTTGAGGGGCTATAGAGAGTAGTTTTTTGTAAAAATAGCGCGGGCTAGCCAGTTTTCAGATTGGTCATTCAAAATTAGCAAGCGTTTGCAAAGTCATTGAAAAATAGCCACTATTTTGCTGCAACAGGGAGCGGTTCAGCATAATATACTGGAGATCGGTGCACATGTGTACGAACTTCCAGCATATTATGCTGGAACTCCAACAAGCGAAAAGTTCCAGCATAATATACTGGAGATTGGAGCACCTGTGTATGAACTTCCAGCATATTATACTTGACCGGTATATTATACTGGAACTCCAGTATATTAGGCTGGAGGTGCAGTATACTTATGCTGGAACTCCATTATAATATGCTGGAGTTCAAGTATACTTATGCTGGAACTCCCGTATATTATGCTGGAGTATTTTCAGGATTTTGGATAGTGTTTTCGTTCAGATTTATCTTTACATGAAAAGTGGCTATATTTCGATTACTTTTGAAACTTTGGCTATTTTTGAATGACCACTTATAAATCTGGCTATTTTTGAATTTCTCCCTAGTTTTCTCCTTAAATGTATAGTTAGGAGTTGGTATTCCAAATTGAAACTCCATAATTTCATATCAATAATTCGGGTCTTAACAATATGTTGTCCAATGTCAATGGAAACTTAAATACACCTTTACATGATTTTGTCGCTCCTTGCTTACCATGTGCATTATCCAATTTAAAGTGTTAAATGTCCAAAAAATAAACAACTAATTCCGATGTAAACCCGAAAGTAAATTTATTTATAAACAGATCGGACTATGTCATGTTTACGTATATATAGTCGATCAAACACTTGGTATCTAATCTACGTATTGTTTGATTCTACTTCATACTTCTTGTATCATTTATTATTATTATTATTATTATTATTATTATAATCTTATTATCATAATCACTAAGCAAATTGAAAGAGACAGTTACGAAGAAAGAAGGCTAGCAAGACGATATAGACAATATTTATAAAATTAATGCCTTGGAAAGAACTTTATAACCTATAGAGTAGTTTGAGTGAGGTGGATTAGAATAAGTTGGAGTAAATTTTATGTATGGTCATCTAACTTTTAGCTTCATTACACAAAAGTCACTATTCTTTCTTTTGTTACACAAAAGTCATATAACTTTGTTCCGGTTATCACAAAAATCATTTTGCCGGATTTGATAAAGTTTCCACCTGAAAAGTAACGTGGCAACCTTAATTAGTGTTTTATATTGATTAAGCAAGTTAAATATAGTATTAACTCATGCCTTGACCCATAAAATACTTGACCCAACTGCTATGTGTACTGGTTCTATTGCAGAACTTGGAGTTGCTATGTGTGCTGAAGTTTCTGGAACTGCTATTTGTGATGAAGTTTCTGAAGCTGCTGCTGTTGGTGCATCGAAGAGAAGTTGCACTTAAAATGGGTCAAGGCATAGATAAATCACGACAGGTGCAGAGTATGGAGAAAAATGAGCTCCATTCGGGCAACTGGGTCAAGTATTTTATGGGCAAGGCATGAGTTAATACCATATTTAACTTGCTTAATCAATATAAAACACTAATTAAGGTTGCCACGTCACTTTTCAGGTGGGAACTTTGTCAAATTCGGCCAAAATGATTTTTGTGATAACTGGAGCAAAGTTAAATGACTTTTGTGTGACAAAAAAAAGAATAGTGACTTTTGTGTAATGAAGCTAAAAGTTAGATGGCCATACATAAAATTTACTCAAATAAGTTGAGTCACTGCGTGGCTGGTTTCGATCAATGAGCAACAATTATATCAAATTTCAATTATCACATGTGTAACCTAACTAGTTCGAACATTTACAAAATTTAAGACTTTTATGCCTTTTTTTTTCTTGTCACTTTTTGAAGAAGACGGGAGAGTGGATTTGAAGTTGAGAGAAAAAGAGCAGGCCCCTCTGGACAGGGAGCAGCAAGGTAGAGAAAAGCAGTTGCTAGACGAGATTAGAAAAGTCATTAACCTTAAACTAGATTTAAAGGCCAAATCATTAAATTTATATTTTAAGACCACAAGCAATCAATTTGATTCACTATCTCGAATATAAAAGTAGATAATAACATTAAAAGAGAAAATAAGATGCAGAGAAAGCCAAGATAATTAATTCTTATTGAGATTGCTTCTTCCTTGAGATCTTTATTTTGCTTAGTAAGAAGTATTCTTGAGTTTTTTTCCAGATGGGATACAAAATGGCAAAAGTGGGATTTAAATAATAGTAAGATCTCCTATAACCGTCCTCTAACATGTCGCATATCCATTACCACCATTATTCACTTCTTCCGTAAGAACCAGCTCATGTTGGTTCTTTATAACCGAAGATCAGGAAACTGTTTTTGTCCAGTTTCTTTTGGGAACGATTTAGCTGCCTTGGGGTGTTGACCCTTTACTCTGATGCGATACAATTCTCGGATACCACGCCTGGTAGTGATGATTTTCTTTTCCAATATAGTGTCCTCTGGAAGAGCAAATTCCTAATTACCGATATGTAGAGATTTAGCTAAGAAAGAACAGAAAAGGAAAATTTGCAGAATTAAGTAAGAAGATTAAATAAGATTTTTCATTCTTCAATGGATCTTTACAAAGATGCTGCTGGGCTAATTAAGGCAAGGGTCCTACAGCTGTGACCACCTAGACAACCAATGAGAAATGAACAGAGGTGGTCCTATGCTAACGGATACAAAGGGATAAGAATGGACATGTGTCTTTCAAAGATAAAAGCTACTCTACTTGGATAAAACTCTAAACAAATAAAACTCAAGGCACTTAAGTGCTAATATACTAAGCTATTTTGCAATTAGCCTCTTTCCAATCAGTAACCAAGTTTCCCAATTTCATTTTCTGAACTATCCCGTTCCACAACATCCCACCTTCCTTCGAGAACCTTGATCTTCAAGGTTGAAATTCAGGGAATTGGGAAGTGATAAAGGAATAATCCTCCCAAGTTGCATCCTCTGGAGCCAGATTGGCCCATTGCACCAAGATTTGCGTAACAGCTTGATTGTTCCTCTTCACCATTCTCCGGTTAAGTATAGCCATTGGTTCTGCCACTAACTGACATTCAGGCGTGCTCAAAGGTGGTTCCTTTATGAAAAAATCTTTTGGACCCAATTTCTTCTTCAGTTGACAAACATGAAAAACTGGGTGGATTCGAGACTCGACGGATAACTAGAGCTCATACGCCACAGAACTAATCTTTTTGATAATCGGATAGGGACCAAAAAACTTGGAGGACAACTTTAGGTTCTTTCTCACAGCCACTGAAGATTGGCGATAAGGCTATAACTTGATGAAGACTAAATCGCCTACTTCAAAGGTGTGCTCACTTTTTTTGCTATCAGCGTATTGCTTCATTCGTGCCTGAGCCTTAATCAAATTTTCCTTCAGTTGTTTGCTTATTATCTGTCTTTCTTTCAGCAATTGATCCACGGATTCAACCTTGGATTATGCAATCAGCTCGAAGGTTGGCTGGGGTGGATCATACCCGTATAGAGCCTTGAAAGGAGTCATATTGATTGTGGACTGATGACTCGTGTTGTACCAAAATTCTGCCAGAGATAACCATTTGCCCCATTCCTTAAGCCTTTGCCCAGTCATGCATCGGAGGTAAGACTCCAAACATTGATTCAACCTTTCTGTTTGACCGTCGGTTTGGGGATGATATGCCGAGCTCAATTTCAACTGAACCTGCAGGTTTTTGAAAAGTTCTTGCCAAAATAGGCTCACAAAAATTGGGTCTCTGTCAGAAACAATTGAGGACGGTACTTCATGTAATTTGCAGACATGATCAAGGAATAATTGAGCAATTTGAGTAGCATTATACGGATGAGTTAATGCAATGAAATGCGCATATTTTGTAAACCTATCAATCACCACTAGAACGACTTCCTTTCCTTGTGATTTAGGTAATCCCTTCCCAAGCTCTTTCCGGAATAGGTAAAGGGTGTAGCAATCCAGGGTAGGCTACACTCTCATCTTTGTTCCTTTGGCAGACTTCACATTCTTGTACCATTATTTTCACATCTTTAATCATCTTTGGCCAGTAAAAAAGTGCCTTAAGTCATTGATATGTGGCATGAATTCCAGAGTGCCCTTCCCATGAGGTCTAATGCATATCATGAATCAATTTTTCCCCGAGGCCTAACTGTTTTCCCACCCATAATTTTCCTTGGAACCTTAGCAGTCCTGACTGTAGTGACACATCTTGTACTGCCTTGGAGTCTAAGCTGAGCTTTGTGATTAGTTCTTGAGCCTCTTGATCACCTTCATAGCTTTCTATCACTTCTTGTACCCATTTGGGTTGAATCACACTTAGGCCCAAACACAAAGCTTCTACTTCTTGGTTAACCTATTTGGTTTCCTCTTCCCTTCGAGACAACGCATCTGCTACTAAAATCTCTTTCCCTTGCCTGTAGAGTATTTCATAGCTTAGGCCCATCAATTTTGTCACTCCTTTGTGTTGTCATGATGTAGTGATGCGTTGATCTTTGAGGAATTTTAAGCTAAAATGGTCCGTCCGGATGATAAAGTGACTGGGTTGAAGGTAATGTCTCCATTTTTCAACTGCTAAAAGAAGGGCAATTAATTCCTTCTCATATGTTGAAAGCCCCAGGTGTTTTTGACACAAAGCCTGACTCATGAAAGCAATTGGCTTGTTGTTTTGAGACAGAACAACTCCTACTCCCAGACCACTAGCATCTACTTCGACCACAAATGGTAACTTAAAGTCGGGTAATGCTAATACTGGTGCTTGGGTCATAGCTAACTTCAAAGCCTCAAACACATGTGTTGCTCCCTCATTCCACACAAAACCCCCTTTCTTTAGTAACATGGTTAATGGTTTACTGATTACTGCATAGTTCTGAATGAACTTGCGGTAATAACCCGTTAATCCCAAAAAAACTTTGCAGCCCTTTGATGCAATTGGGCTTAGGCCAATTCACCATGGCCTCTATTTTTGCACTGTCAGTTCTGACCCCATCCTTTGTGATGACATGGCCCAAGTATTCCACTCGAGTTTGGTCAAAACTGCATTTAGACCGTTTGGCAAACAAATGATGTTTAGCTAACAGTCCAAAAACCTCTCTTAGATAGTCCAAGTGCTCCTTGAACGACGCACTATAAACCAAAATATCATCAAAGAAAACCAAGACGAACTTCCTTAGGTGAGGCCCAAAAATTTGGTGCATGAGTGCTTGAAAGGTCGCCGGCGCATTTGTAAGCCCAAACGGCATCACAGTAAATTCCCACAGCCCATGATGAGTTTTGAATGCCGTCTTGTGTTCATGACCCGCTTTCATGCGTATCTGATGGTAACCTGAACGTAGATCCAACTTAGAAAAATAATGAGCGCCATTAAGCTCATCAAGTAAATCCTCTACTACAGGAATGGGATACTTGTTTTTAATGGTAATGTCGTTAAGCCTCCGATAATCAACACATAATCTCCATGTTGAATCTTTCTTCTTGACAAGAATCACAGGTGAACAAAAAGGAGAAGTACTGGTAGTTACTGTTTTGCCTCCAACATTTCTTGGATGATTCTCTCAATGACGTCTTTCAGCTCATGTGAATACCTGTAGGGCCTCTGATTAACAGGCTTTGCACCAGGAACTAACTCAATGGCATAGTCACACGATCGAGCCGGAGGTAATGCAGTAGGCTCATTAAAAACAACAGTAAACTTAGACAAAATGTCTTTCACAAGAGCTGGAACCAATTCTTCATTTGGTTCTACTGATTCCAAGTAACATGTTTGAGCCACCCAATTACAGCCAGCTCTGTTAAGCAGCCTATAAACTAACCTTGAATCCATTTTAGCCATGGATTGTGAATCTGGATATCCAACCAATGTCACCATTCGGCTACCTTTCATGAAAGACACACTATGAGGCTTAGTATTTATAACCATGGGTGCTATCATGTCGATCCAATCCATTCCTAACACCATATCACAACCTCCAACCTTCATTAATCGCAAATCAAATTTGAAGACTTCACCTTGCATTTGCCAGATTACGTTGGGGCAAAAAATTTTACTCCACATAATCCCTCCATTGGCTACCCTAACCTTCATGGGCCTAACCATTAGATGCATGACTAGTTTCAATTTTTCTGCCAGTTGGGGGTCCAAGAAACTATGCGTTGCCCCCGAGTCCACCAACACAATTATGGGTTCATTTTGCAGTATTCCTGGAATCTTAATGGTGTTTGGGCCTCTATCTGGGCCATCCAACATGTTAATCCAAGCTGCTTCTTCTTCGCATTCCTCCATTGCATTTACCACAGCCTCTTCATCATTTACTTCAGATTTTTGTTCCTCTGGTACTCCAAAACTTTCCCCTTCCTCAAATATTGTTTCCGCTTCAATATCCTCTATAGAATTAAGGGCTTTCACCTTGCATTGATGCCCAGGAAAATATTTGTCGTGACACTTATAACACAACTTCTTTTCACGTAATGTTTCCAAGGAAGGGTTATTTTGTAAGGTTGCTAGATTACGGGTTACAATGAGTAGTAAGTTTTTTGGGCTTGGGCCGATGATTGCTTTGGGGCTTGGGGGAAAAGTTATTTTGGGCTGAGTGATGGAAATCTTTGGTGGTTGAATATTTTTGTAGATGGCTGCCAAGGTCTTTTCATATAATTTGGCCACTTCTAAAGCATCTATCATTGTCTGAGGATTAGACGCTCTTACCATAGATTCCAAATCAGGTTTTAATCCTCTAATAAAACAATACACAAAATAAGCTTCATTAAAGGTAGGATTAATTAATAACAAGTAAAAACATAGGTCTTCAAACTTGTTAAAATAGCTTTCAACATCTGTCCGTTGTTGTAGCCTATTAAATTCAACCACAATGTCCAAGGGTCTAATGTTACCATACCTTCGGCAAACATCCAAACAAAAGTTTCCCATGTTACAACCCCCCCATGTTCCATCATATACACATCAAACCACGTATCCATCTTTTCTTTGACATGGAAAGCCACATAACTCATTTTTTCAGTAGCCTCAATTTGATACAGTTCAAAGTACTTCTCACATCGTCTTATCCAACCTCGCGGGTTGTCACAGTCAAAATTAGGAAAACTTAGCTTAACTTTTGGGCCTTTAAAAGGGCTGAAAATTTGGGTAATGGCTGTAAATTATGTTGACTATTGGGTTGCACCAATGAACTATTCATAACGGCCTGATAAGCTAGAGGTGGTAGGAAGGTAGTGGTGACAGGTATTTGGGTTGAGGTGGAGTTAACTTGAGTGGTGTTCATTGGAATACTTGTGTTAAAAACAGGGTTAGCCAAAGAAATTGGTATAGATGCAAAACTGGTAGTTCTTGGTGGTTGAGTGAGTGAAAGTGATGCTGGAGGGTACAAAGAAGGTCCTGAACTGTAAAATGTTGAAGGCCCAAATTGTGTAATGGGTACCGTAGCAGAAACCATAGGATTGAAGGGAGCGGCAGCTAGAGACAAATTCCTTCTCGTTTGTGAAAAATTTGGTGTCACTGGTGAAAGAGAGGGTCTGTGCATTCCAGTTACCGAAGCTTCTCCTCTTTCTATTGTTGAATCACCCATGGCCAAAGCTGCAACGGATCTCCCTGAAGCCATTGATTCCGATCTTTGTTCGATCTCTAGACGGCCCAACAAGGTGTCAAGTATACGANTTAGTTAAGAAAGAACAAGAAAAGGTAAATTGCAGTAATTAGTAAGAAGATTAAATAAGATTTTTCATTCTTCAATGGATCTTTACAAGGATGCTGTTGGGCTAAATAAGGCAAGGGTCCTACAGCTGTGACCACCTAGACGACCAATGAGAAATGAACAGAGGTGGTACTATGCTAACGGATACAAAGGGATAAGAATGGACACGTGTTTTTCAAAGATAAAAGCTACTCTACTTGGATAAAACTCTAAACAAATAAAACTCAAGGGACTTAAGTGCTAATATACTAAGCTATTTTGCAATTAACCTCTTTCCAATCAGCAACCAAGTTTCCCAATTTCATTTTCTGAACTATCCCGTTCCACAACACGATACCCAAATCTTCCATCGTAGGAAGCATGTCGGTTGTTTCATCATCAATCAACGATGGTTCAAACACCTTTAAGTTATCAGCATTCACAACTGAATACATTTGCATATAGGCAGGCAATTCTAGTTGGACAACATTATCTCCAATTTTTCTTAAAATCCGAAAGGGACCATACCTGATAGGCTTGAGCTTTTTGCCTTCGCCTTTCAACCTTGCTTTCCCTAGGTGAAGCCAAACCAAGTCACCTTCTTGGAAATCTCCTGTATTCGATGCTTATCATGGCGCTCCTTATATTTTTGTTGCGACTTAAACAGTTGTTATTCTACTTCCTGATGCACTCGTCAGATATGATCAATGAATCGTTGAGCCTTGAGTATGTCAGCCTCAGCTTTGCCATCTTGTGAAGCTACTTTAACCGTAAACTCCAAATCAAATGGACTTTGTGGTAAGAATCCAAGGATAATTTCTGTTGGGGCCTTGTTTGGTTGAACCATAAATTGTGTGGTTGATGGCAAACAATAAAAATGGTATGCTCTCATCCCAAGTTTTTGGGTGGCGCAAGTTGTAGCCACGCAAGAGATGAACCAACATCCGGTTAGCCACTTCTGTCTGACCATCCGTTTGTGGATGAAAAGCGGTGCTCCGTTTCAACTTTAGTATCCATCAACTCCCATACAGTGCTCCAGAATTTGCTCAAGAACCGAGTATCACGGTCTGATAAGATTGAATTAGGCAACCCAAAAATCTTCCACACATTTTCAAAGAACAACTTTGTTGCCTCCACTCCAGTAACAGTCTTCTTGCATGGAATAAGTACCACCGTCTTAGAGAATCTGTCAACGATTACATATAGGTAATCGTTACCGCGTCGAGTCTTGGGAAGACCTCCCAAAAAGACCATAGAAATGCTTTCCCAAGGACGAGTAGGAACTGGTAGTGGAGTGTACAAACCCAACTTTCTGTTAGCAGGCTTTGAGACACTATATAAATTGACTTACATCTTCCTGCATACCCGGCCAATATACATAACGTTGAAGATTCAATGTCGTCTTTGTCACACCTCCTTTTTCCCGAGGAATATGGAGTTTTTCCAATGAAAGTGACATTATCCAAAATGTAATTAATTATTTAATCAGAGTGGCCACTTGGAATAATTTTAGGGTGTTCCAAGTCACCGGTTTTATTTTAAATCTCAAATCGAGGATATTTGACTCCGTTTTAAAATTTGCAAAATCAGAAGAGCGGGTAAGGAATTCTATTAACCCGGGAGAAGGTATTAGGTATTCCTGGGTTCCGAGGTTTTAGCACGATCGCTTTGATCATACCTGGCGTAGCTAACTGTTTAATTACGTATTATTAGAAACTATGTGCATTTCTACCTTTTACCACTTTTTAATTAGGGTGTTTATGGATTTAATCTTTGAAACGAATTATATGTATGTAAATTCGTATTATTTGGGGCGCTAAAATTATGTCACGCGTACGTGTACACAACTAATCACACTTTATTAATTAAGATTGTTTTGCCAAAGTTGTGCGAACGCGTACTTTGATTTATTTGTGGAAGATCATAATTATGTCACGTTAACGTGTACATAATCATGATAATAAATTACAAGCGTGCCTAAAGCATTGTGCGAATAACTGTGCATGCCCTGTCCTAGAATACAATGTCTATCACGATATAATGATATTTTTGTTATATACTGAATCGTATAACACAATTACTAGTTCGGTATATGGTAACTGATAATTCTTCAGAAACTTAACAGGAATTATATTTTGTTGTAATTCACTAGCAATAATATCTATTTCTAACATATACAAATAAAAAGGCACAAATGCCTCACATATATCAGCAAATTGATGAAGTCGACTAAAGAGAAGTTCATCGGTTTTTTTTGTTGATAAAATAGCCAAATAAAAAAAAAACTGTTCATAAGGTCACCAAATGATTACTGTAACATTTATCACATAAGTTTGCATGCTTTGTGTAACAAGGCAATGGACTCACAGTGTTAGAGGATTTATCAGAGAGAAAGCAGGTAATATTGGTCCATCTAATAGTAACCGTAGCTACTTTTCCAGTGATTGGAGCTGGAGCTTCGCCATTTTCACTTTCTCTCTCGTCTGTTTCTTTCTTTGCAGGTTGCGGCTGGTTGTTCTCAGAGTGAGGGGGGTCGCGGCTGAAGCTTGACAAGGGAGCTAGGGTGGTTGAGACGTGGGATTTTTGTGGGGGTGCTGCTAACTCTCAAGGTGAGATTAATGGAGTTCTTTGGATGAGTTTGATTGATTCTTGAGGAGAAGAAGATGAGCAGCGGCTGCTTCTCTTTTTTTTTTTTTTTTTTTTTTTTTTTTTTTTTGTAGGAAGATCAGATGTATAAGGGAAATCAGATCTTTTGGGAGTGGGCTACCGCTAGGGTCCTTAGAATTAGGAGATTAGGTTTTTAATTTGATTTTTTATATGGGTGTAAAAGTTGACATGGACCATTGGATGAAAGTAGATGAAGGGTTTGATGGGTGAGAAAAGGGTTTGGGCTAAAAGAGATTGGAAGAATGGGCCTTTCTCTTGCTGGGCCACTAAAATCCGAAAATGAGCTCCCAATTGGCCCAAATTCAATTCTTTCTCATACTACCAAAATATACTAATTATTCTTAGTTAATAAGAAAATACTATTAAAGTGAACTATATATAAAAATGAAAACTAATTTTGGTATTTTTTAAATATTATAATAAAGTAAAGACAGAGAAAATAGCATATCAACCAACTTATTATGAGTTCCCTTCTTGTACCTGATAACAAGATTAAACTGCTCCAAGTATGTCATCCACTTCATATAACGAGCTTGCTGCAAACGAGACTACACTTGTAAATACTGTAAAGGGCGATGATCGGTATGAACCACAGTTTCTTTGCCCAAAAGATAAACCCGCCAATGCTTAACGACTTGATATAAGGCCAATAGCTCTTTGTCATAAGTGGGATAATTTTTCTGAGCTCCTTGAAATAACTCAGAATGATAAGCAAGTGGCCACCCTTCCTGCATTAACACAACACCCATGGCATAATCTCCTGCACTTGCCGCTTAATCTCCTCATTTTGCAGTACCGAGTTACGATACATATTGAGGTTTGGTAAAGTTGAGTCAGAGAGGAGCTGAATCTCGTGTTCTACTTCCCTCGTTGGTGGTAATCCACATATTTCTTCAAATACATCAACATATTCATCTAATAAATGCTGAAAATCGCCCTCTATTTCCTTGCAAGATAAAGTAACAGATTCAACCTTGGGTATAGACTCTATTTACCTGATCAATATTAGCACGAACCGCTGACTTGCATGTAGCAACTTTTTAGCCTGACCAGCTGTTACCAATTCCATTATTTGCTCGGGAATATCTCCATGGACAACATATGTCTTTTCATCCTTTCGAAGGTGATACTTCCGAGCTATTCGATAATACATTGCATCTCCTTCCCACTTACCGAAGATCACTTGGCAAATATCAAGGGGAACTATCTCGCACAACACATCATCAATGAATTGGCCAGTGATGGCGAATCGCCATTTGCATTGCTTCTGGATATTCGTCTCTGCTCCTTTGTGAATCCATCCCAAGTTATAAGGACGAGGATGAGGCACTGTTTCCAATCCTAGCTTCTGCACTAAGCTTGCAGATATAAGATTTTTCTGGCTTCCAAGGTCGAATATAGCTCCAATCACATCTTGTTTAACTTGAATACGCACAGCGAATAGTTCTTCTTTAATGTTCGGTGTAGAGGGCGGTCGCGAGCCTGTCTCCTTCGGCATGGCCATCAAAGATAAACTCATGTACGCATTACTTACTTTCCTGAGCTCAACAAGATCTTCAACAACAGTTAGTGCTGTTGTATGCTTCCCTTTCTCCTCTTTCTTCCATTTCTTAGGTAACAATTTTGGATGCAACTTCCAGCATTCTTTCTTGTCATGACCTGCAATTTTATAGTGCCCACAATATTTTTCAGATTCGGATGTTAGGGAAGAAGAGTCACCCTTCTTTTGGTTTTCAGGACTGAATTTCTTGGTCTGCTTGAAATTTTACGTTTGTGACTTCTTCTCGCCATACGCTCTATTTTTTCTTTCAATAGCCATTGTTGTGGTGCTTGCATTAGATAAATCATGAACTGGAAACAGACTTAGTTCAGCCCGAATCCGCTCATGTAAACTAGATAGATACTTTCTGTAGGTTGACGGGTCATTCAAGGATACTCCCAAGCTTAGTACTTGTCGCCTAAACTCAGAGATGTAGTCTTGTACTGTTTGATCTTTCTTTTGTCGTAGTCGATGCCACTGGTTCCACCACTCTTCTAAGTACCCATAGGATAAAATTTCTTTTGTACGAGGCACTTAAATTGACTCCAGGTAAGGCCATCAACTTGTCTAGTTTTAGTAATAGCCTTTCACCAAGTTTTTGCATGTCTTATCATTATTAACGGTGTGTAGGCGACTTTTTGGGCATTACTAAACCTCTGAAGAGTGAAATATGTCTCCAACTAGTCTAGCCATGAATCTAGTTTCTCTGGATCAACTACTCCGTCGTACTCAGGGATTTCAACCTTTGCTTCCACCTTAAAAATTTCTGGGACTTAGGTGGTGTTTGACTGAAAATTATCGAATACTTTCCAAGCAAATCAATCGAAATAATTCAAAGGGTAAATCATAGCTAATCATAATTAATCACTGGATTAGAAGACCAACTTGAGACATTGAAATAATCAATTATGGAACAATATAAACGGGATTTTATTCATCAAGGTGACTTGACCTGCCTCTCCTTGAAGAGGTTCAGGATCTTACATTGATCTTGTTTCTGGCTCCACTTACTGGATTAGAAGACCAACTTGAGACATTGAAATAATCAATTATGGAACAATATAAACAGGATTTTATTCATCAAGGTGACTTGATCTGCCTCTCCTTGAAGAGGTTCAGGATCTTACATTGATCTTGTTTCTGGCTCCACTTATGGAGTATATCTTTTTCTTTTTGGAGTATTCAGAGTTGTGTCGAAGAAGAAGCCCCCCTTGGGAGGTTCTCTCCCTTGGTATTTATAACCTCAGGCTTTTCCATCTGGTCACGAATGGGCCCCTCCTTTTATTGTGGAGACATCCCCTCGTTTGTTTTAAGGACAGTTGTCATAAATCAAGAGTCAGCGGCGTTGACCATCTACTACAAAGTGGTCGTGATGGGGTTGACCCCCTAGTCGAAAAATGGCCGAATATCTGTCAATACAGTTAGTCCCTCCGTTCGTCGAGGTCGTGCTCGAGTCGACCTCGGCGGACGGATAGAGCGGCGTGATCGGGGAGGGCCCTTAAAAATGAGTTTTCAGCATTGAACTGTTGGTTGGCGAGTGGAGCGTCATCCCGCGCAGTCGTTTGTAATGGCGCACGTTTTCATGAAACCGAATCGCTTCGTGCACGATTAAGTATTAGTGGCGATCGTTGGGTCCCGTGCAGGCAGAATCCGTTATTTATACCTGGAGAAGATGTGTCATTTTGTTTTTTACATGTTCATTGTTCTTCTAAGAGAAATCTCGAGAAGCCTTTTCTTCTGTCAAATCGCATTTTCCCTATTCTTCCAATCATTATCATCATTGATTTCTCCGTCTCCCTTGTCAAAGTTCTTCTTTCTTTCGCTCGTGAATCGATTATGGCAGGCACTTCTTCTCGCGGCAATCGCTCGGCTAATTCTCCGGGAGTCGAAAATCCCGCTCCGACAGATAAAAGGTTAGAGTTGGTGGGAGGTGAGGAAATTCCTTCGGTCGATGAGATTCTACCTCACCCAAGAGATCAAGTGATGGATTTCAGTGCACCGGGCGGCGTGGAACAGGGGGACATTGCTTCTTTAATGGGGGAAGTGGGGATAGCTCAAATGCGGGAGCGATGGCGTATCCCACATTATGCCGAGATCGCTCTTGCAAAGACCGAGGACAGGGTACAGATTGACCGTCGAGGGTATTGCTCGTTCTATGCTTATCCCTTCCAGGTGGGGTGTACACTCCCGCTCCCGATGCTGATAGTAGACTTCTGTCGCTATTACGAGGTATGCCCGACCCAACTTTCTCCTTGTCTTTACAAATTGCTCCTCATGTTCATCAAATATGCGGAGCTAGCGGGTAGGGAGGTCACTTTGAGGCACGTGCTCAGTCTCTTCGCTCCCCAAATAATCCGCGGCACCATGATCCATGCACGCCCACGAGGATCGAAGGGCTTGATGGTTGGGCTGGACGACGAGGTCATTCGTCATTCCTTTGAGAATTTTTTCTATATTCGGACTGAACACCTGGTGGCGGACCCAAACGGATTCCCGGAAGTTTGGAACTTTGCACGTGAGTCCTCGTTCCTGACTGGGCATCCGCTCTATTTCGACTTTCCTCATGCTTTGTACTTATGGTTATTGATTTACCTTTATTTTTGTAGGTGAAAAGTTGCCGCCGCCTCCTTTGGAGGGGATCCGAGACTGGGTCGAGGCAGTGCTTCCTCGTACTGCGGGCATTCGCACCTGGGCGGCTTTCTAGGAGAGGCATGGTCGCAGGCCCGTGACAGGTGGAATTTCGGTCCTTTCTCTTTTCTATTTCGTTTTGTTCTGACTGCGTCTATTGATTTGTTTGTTCATTGTCGCTAGAGAGACCACGTCGTGCCAAAGCTCCACAATTGGCTTTCCGTCGGCCGGGTGCACTTGCTAGGCTGGCTGCTGCGCCTGTGCCTCGTCGAGTACCGAGGGCGGCGTCGGTTGAATCGTCAGCGACCGCGTCTCCACCGCGGGTTATGCCACAAGATGAGAGGCCGTCCGGGCTTGTTCGTTCTCGGACGGGCTCGCCTTCGAATGAGGAGGAGGATAGGCCTTCGTAGAAACAGCGAGTGGCATTTGTGGCGGCTCCTCCATCGGTGATCAACTTGGATTCTCCCCCGACAGATTCAGAGGGCGGCACAGCTGTGGCGCTTGTTGGCGAGGAGAAGGAGTTAGTCGAAGTTGAACCTGTTAGTTCTAGCCAAGGGAATGTTGTTGTCTCGACGACCCTGTTCGAAGTTCCTGTTGCGAGGCGGAGGGTCGATCCTTACAGGCCGCCGTAGAGACCTCTGATGTACCAGTGTTGGCCACGGCGAGTTGCTCTACCCCAACGGTGGCGGAGAGGGGGCAGGACGTGGTGGAGGACGAGGATGAATCTGAGTCCGATTTGGACCCCGACGACGTTCGTATGTTCGAGGAGGGTATTACCAATTCTACGGTGCGCCCAGGGGGGCCGGCCCGTTTTATTGAGGTTCCCTCGGATTTGAACTTACTAACTGAAGGAACTAGCTTGGTGTCGCAGTTTGAGTTGTTGTGTTCGGAAGCCGAGAACGCGTCTTTAAGGAGCGTTTTGGATATTGAAGTGATGGACGAAGTGAC